AGGCTTCAGAGGCTGGTTCGACTGACGACGGAACCAGCAGTACCAGTTCAAAAACCTTTACAGGGAGTGACCATCAGCAGCAGCCGCTTGGCGGGTTTATTGCTTTGAGCGCTGCCGTCGATGATCTTTTGGCCGACCCAATTTTGCTAGACTCCATGGATCCATGGAATCACCTTGAGTGGTCTCTCTCTTTCCCTTCCGGCGAAGAGCCACTCGCATTGCCAACAATAATAGGCAGAGAATTCGGCATTGAACCGAACGAAAGAAAATGTTGGATCCCGTTTGGAGAGCAGACTTTCGTCGGTTGCCGGCTCACTGCCAACGCGTACTGGGGCCAAACAAGAACTTGCACCTTCTGGCAGAAATGATTGAAGCCACACAGTGGCCTGACAAGAACATTGTCAGAGACCTTGCCTTAGGTTTTCCGCTGCTAGGAGCTCTGCCCAGGGCTGGCATTTTGCCGCCGATTCCGTATCCCATAGTGGACCAGAGCGAAGAATCGCTTTTAGTGAACGCCTGCCAGTATAACGCGACAACACTGCAGCGGATCCAACGTCCGCTCCAAGAGCAGCAGGCGGTTTGCGAGGCATTCGAGGCTAAATGTATGCAAGAGGTTGCAGACAATAAGGTCTGGTGAACCAAGCTTGATTTAAATCGTCGATTCTCTCCGCGCGTTTTCCTGCCCTGGAGGGGTGGAAGGATGGCGGCGATGGGATTTTAACTCCCAAGGTCAGATTGATCGACGACTTTTCGGCCTCATTTATAAATGCCGCCACGGCGATAGACGAGCTCATGCCAGTGGCTACGCTGGACACACTCGTCCAAATTGTCCGTGCGCCTGCCAAAAACAACCCGGGCGAGTGCGTGTTTCATTTCAGAGAGGAAGATTTCAAAGGGGCGTTTAAGTCCTTGCCTCTTCTAGCCCGCCACTTGCCATTTGCTGTGGTTTTCTGGCAAAGTGCGGCAGAGCAAGGGAAGGGATTGCAATTGATTTGCTGTCCTTTCGGATCGTGCGCGTCTGTATATAGCCGGCGCCGGCTGGGGTCTTTCTTTCAGGCCCTGCTGGCGCGGGAGCTGTTTATTGCGTATCCTCGGTTCGTGGATGATTTGTTTTCTGCTGACCTTGCGAGTGCCAGTGAAGGCGCTGTCGCAGGAGCGGAGAACGCAGCAAAGTGCGCGCAAGAGCTCCTCGAGTTGACGGGCTGGGAACTAGAGCCGGCAAAGCGGGTGCGGTGTTCCAACGACGCCACCATGCTCGGTGTAGAAACGTCGTCACGTCCAGGCGAATTGATTTTCGAAATAGGTCCTGCCAAGCGCGAAAAGTGGTTGGTTACAGTCCGTGCCGCGCTCCAGCGCGATTATCTGCGGCCGTCTGAGGCACGGCGCTTGGCCGGCCGATTGAATTGGGCAGGTAGTGCCGTGTTTGGCAGGGGTGCTCGTGCATATCTGGCCGCACTGCACTGGCAATCGCATCGCCGTACAGGTTCTTTGACCACGCGCGTCCGGACAGCATTGCGTTGGTGGGGGCGGTTTTTACAGGAAGCGCCGCGGAGGCGCATTCCTTTGGCCCCCACCGTTGTCCAACGCTGTATTGTATACACCGATGCCGCAGGCGATGGCGCAATGGCATTTGCTGTTATACATCCGGAGGTCCGTTTCTGGGCAGCGGCGCGGGTGCCCCGGGCTGCGTGGGCGCGGGCGCATCCGCGCCGCGCGCAAATAGTTCTTTGGGAATTAGTGGCGGCAGTTTGCGCAGTCAGGAGTTTAATCGAGCATGGTCTCGAAAAGTGTGAGATCGTTCTCTTCGTTGATTGCAATCCGGCTTTGCACGCGATCGCGCGCGGCGCAAGTCGGCAGAGTGATTTCAACGAGGTTCTCACGGGCTTTTGGTTCCAGGTCGCCAGGGCAAGCATTGCGTTGCATGCATTCCGCGTGCCCAGTAAATTGAATGTAGCCGACGGTCCCACGAGGCGCGGTACCTGGGGCCACACAGTGGCGGAGTTTCGAGCACGACAATTTAATCACGTGGAGTGGACGTGGCCTCTTGCACTGCCTTGGGAGAGTGAGCGCTGACAGAAAAATCGCGGGGAAAATGCATGTGTCTCTGGTGTCGTACATCACCTTTGTTCAACAAAGGTGATGCTGCAGAAACAACAAAGTTTGTTGTTTCTGCAGCATCCTTGCTATGCACTGCACGCCGTAGCGGTTTGGGCCCGAATGCTGAATTTCATCGAGCAGAGTCGGGCGCGACACGCAGAAGTTTCTAATCCCGGGCGAACAGTGCGCCCTCGCCTGGATGCTGGCGCCGGTGACGTCGCTTCAGTATCAGAGATCGGACATTCATTGCGGCGAGCGGGTGCAATTGCGGGAGTGGTATTTTCATTCGTGGAGATCGAAGAGCAGTTGAAGACCGAGGGCGGCATCGTTGCTTCGGATTTAGTTGGCGTCACGGCAGGTGAAGCGCGGGAGCTCTGGGCGCCGCTCGCGGCTCTGCCTGTTCAGTTTGTGGGCGCTTTCTTGGGATTGTGCCTGGATCTTTCCACAAAGGGAGCGGGGGGAACTTCGGCTACAGGCGCCGACGCCGGTGCACCAGTCAGTGCGCAGAGCTCGAAGGTGGCATCAGCTTCGTCGCCGGCACAGGCGTCTGGGTCTGTCGCGGGGACACTGCGGCCCGGCACCGCAGCAGCAAGAGCCGCTTTGGCACTTTGTACAAGGGCCCGGGCCGCGGGACAAATCCCCGAGCCCAGCGCCCTCGCGGATTCAATCCTGGCGCTGGCAAAGGCTGACGCCGACATGTTCGTCACACCACGCCTCGCTCCGAGACAAGAAATCACATCCCGTGCTGCTGGGCATATCAATGTAATTTTTCTATGGCAGAGCAGGCCGCGCGGTTGAAATTCTGCGGCTGGAAGGCCAGTGCCCGTGGGTATGCGTCAGCGGTTCGGTTATGCGGACGGGTTGCATCCCTTTGTGCAGTTGGCGCGTGGCCGCCCACGTCCACGACCATAGATGTGTACGTGAGGATATTCTGGAACTCGGCCACCTTAGGCCGCTATTTATCGCATCTCCGCACGGTGCTGCTCTGGCTACGGGCCGCCTTGGGCCCCTTGGCGGATGCAGCTCGCGTTGTCCGGGGTGCAGAGAAAACAGGCAGATCTCTGAGACGGCCCCGTGTGCGGGCGACAGCTGCACAAACCAAAGCTCTGGCGAAGTGGTGCTCGACGTTCGGCTTCGCGGACATCGGCGAGTCCTGGGTAATGGCAAGACAAGCTTGCTTGCGGTATGGTGAGGTGTTGCAGATTGGCTCCTCCGCTGCGCCAGTGTGCATCGACGCCGCCGACGGTAGCCGTAAGGAGGTTGCCATTACTTTCATGCGTAGAAAATGCTACGCTGAGCCGGTGCAAGTTGTGAGAAGATGCATTTGTTCATTGCAGGGGAAAGACTTGCGTGGCGTTTGCGCCTTGTGCTCACGCGAGGCCGACGCAGAAGGGCTTGTGTTTCCGGGACTTTGCTACTCTGAAAGTTAGCAACCCTGAAAGTAGCAGCTCAGGCGTGCGGTCTCGACAACGCCCCTGCATGGGGAACGCATGCGTTCCGGCGCGGGTGGGCCACTGAGTGCCTCCAGGCCAATGGACCCACCGCCTTGTTTTATTCAGGCGGGTGGCGAGGGCTTTCCGCTTTCGCCTACGCATCTGCGAGAGCTCGCGGCGGAAAAGCTGCGGCTGAGTTTCTCGTTGAGCATTCGGACTCATCGGACGCTGCCGAGTAAAATGCTCCTCCTTGCACGGGGAAGGCAGGGATATCAGTTGCATTTCGCTTCGCGCAGCTGTCCGGTCTACCTGTGTGCATACGGGTGCTGTGGGACTCTCCCAGGAACGCCCCTGCCAGCTGCACGAAAGCTGGTTGCCCAATGTGCGTGCGGAAACGCAAGAACAGGTATGGGGGGTGACGATAAATTTTATCGTGCTCCTGCCTGGAGGTCCCTGGCCGTCGCTGGAAGCCTCACGTGCCCAGAGACCCAGAGACCGAAAACTCAATTCCTCCTCCGTTCTCCCCCTCCGCCCGCCCCCTTTCCCCGCATCCTCCCCTTACTCCTCAAACTTTCTTCTTCCGCCCTCTAACTTTCTCCTCCTCCTACTCCTCCTCCTCCTCCCCAGGGAGGAGGCGTGGAGGAGGATGACGAGGAGGAGGAGGAGCAGAAGGAAGAGGGGGAGGCGGGACGAGGAGATGAGGAGAAGAGGAAGGAGTATGGAGGTCAGGAGGGGAGGAGACAATAATATGAACAGACGAGGAGGAGGGAGGACGCAGGGAGGAGGAAAAGGAGGAGGAGGAGAGGAGGGAGGTAGGAGGAAGGAGGGAGGAGGGAAGGGAAAAGGGAAAACGAGGGAGGAAGAGAGTAGGAGAGCAGAAACAGGAGGAGCACGAAAAGGGAGGAACTCCTCCTCCCTCCTGCTCCTCCTGTTCCTCCTCCTGCTCCTCCTCCTCATCCTGCTTCTGTTCCTCCTTCTCCGCCTGTTCCTCCTGCTCCTGCTCCTGCTCCTCCTGCTCTTCCTCCTCGTTCTCCTAACCGTCCTGATCCACCTGCTCCTGCTCCTCCTCCTATTCCTCTTTCTTGCTCTGCTATTACTGCTCCTGCTTCCGCTCGTGCTCCTGCTCCTGCTCCTCGTCCTCCTCCTCGTCCTCCTCCTCCTGCTCCTCCTGCTCCTCCTGCTCCTCCTCCTCCTGCTCCTGCTCTTCCTGCTACCTCCTTTTTTCCTGCTAGTGCTCCTCCTGCTTTCCTGCTCCACCTCCTTCTCCTCCTCCTCCTCCTGCTCCTGCTGCTCCTCCTGCTCCTGCTCCTCCTCCTCCTCCTCCTCGTCCTTCTCCTCCTCCTCCTCCTCCTCCTCCTCCTCCTCCTCCTCCTCCTCCTCCTCCTCTTCCTCTTGCTCCTGCTCCTGTTCCTGCTCCTTCTCCTCCCAAGTCCGCGCGGTGCCCCGCCCGCCGCGCGCGGGCAGGGCCGCCGGACGTCACCGCCGGCCTCGGCCCGCGCGCCGGTCCTGGCGGGCCCAGCCGGCCCCGACCGGAAATGCCCGGCTGCAAGGCGGGTGCATCTTCTCAGACGACGACAACGACAACGACGACGACGACGACGACGGCGACGGCGAGGCACCCGGCCAGAACTCGCGGAGGAAGACGGCACGGTCCGTGTCCCAGGGCCAGAGCGTCCCGTCCAGACAACGGTAGTTGGCCTTCGGGGGCTTCCCCGTCGCCACGGCTTGGCGCAGCTCGGACAACTGGTGCGTTTGGACCCCAGGAGGGGTCCTGGGACCGATCTTGAGCTGCCGTTGTCTCATTTTGCCCTGCCCCGATATTCCTATCCACCGTCCGTGGAATCCTCTGAACCGGGCTTTTCTCAAACGCCACGTGCAGTTCACCAGCGTTTCTATCATCCCTGGCGGCTTCGGGCTGCACTCCGAAACTGGCTGCGGACCAGGAGACAGAGACTCCGGCGAGAAAGTGCCGCATGATTCCGCAGCTGCGTGAAGACTGGTGTACACGCACACACATATGTATGTATGTATGTATGCATGCATGCATGTATGTATGTATGTATGTACGTATGTATGTTTGTATGTAGGTATATATGTATGCATGTATGTATGTTTGTATGATTGTATGTGTGTATGTATGTGTGTGTATGCATGCATGCATGCATGCATGCATGCATGCATGCATGCATGCATGCATGCATGCATGCATGTATGTATGTATGTATGTATGTATGTATGTATGTATGTATGTATGTATATATGTATGTGTATATGCATGCATGCATGCATGTGTGTATGTATGTATGTATGTATGTGTGTATGTATGTGTATGTATGTGTATATATATATATATATATATGAGCATGGGTCGGCCAAGGTGGACCCCAGACTGTGTTTTTCTAACAATGCATAGCGTGCTGTATATGTGTGTGGGGGGGGGCAATGTACATAGGTGGTGCAATCCACGTTGTACGGTACATGTTGTGCAATGAAAGCGATGCAATGTATGTGATGCAGTTTATATGGTGCAGTTTTTGGTGGTTCGCAAACTATGCGGTGCAATCGACGTGCTGCAATCTAAGTGGTCCAATGTATGTTGTGCTATGCGGTGCAACCGACGTGGTGCAATACATGTTATGCAATCTGTTGGTGCGATCTACATGGTGCAACCTATGTGGTGCAATCTGCGCGGTGCAATTGTCTACGCTGCACCGCGCTTGACCACCTCCACTGCTCGCGCAAAGATCCCACCCACCCACCCGCAACTTGGCTTGCAAAACCCATGCGTTGCGACGCGTGCTTGGCGTTGGCTGGTGCATCTCTGCGGCCGCGCCAACCCTAGCACGCGCGCGCAGTGGCCAGCTAGTTTGGCGCCAAGGACGCGGCCGCGGTGGCGCTGACCGCTGGGCGCATCTCAGCGGGCACTTCAGTGCGAGTCGGCGACTTGGGCGGTCGCGGTATCATGGCAAAGCCGACTACGGTAGACGCGATGATGATAGTGGCGATGGTGGTGACGATGTTCGCACCGACGAAGGCGCGGCCAGAGCGGGCGCCGATGCTGATCATGCCGACGACGATGACGGCATCCTCGCGTCGGTGATGAAGGTTTTGGACAGAGTTCGACATGCGCGCGCGCCCGACGCGCGAGGGTGGCCCGCATGGTTTTATTTGACACGGATTGTGCCTCTCCAGCACGCGCGCAAGGGCGTGCGAATGATGTCGGCATGCGGCGCCAGTGGCCCGTTTGGCAGAATTCCATGAAGATGTTGAAAGACCGATGGTCTTCTCAAGAATGTGCATTAGCGCGCATGTTTGTTTTGTGACTTGTTTTTCTTTGCGCTGTAAAACGAAGGTTGCGAGACCTTGTGCTTCTGACTGTATTTTGGACTCTTGAAACCGTTACGGAAGCAAAGTTTGCAAAAAAAGGTTCTCGCGACGGCACGCCCGCAAAGGCGTTCGAACGATTTCGGCATGCGCGCGCGAAGCCTGTTTGGGAGCATTTTTCTGAAAAGTATTGAACAACCTATGGTTTCCTTAAGAATTCGCAAAAGCGTGCGCCGCTTGTTTTGAAAATCCGTGTTGCGGAACCATGTGTTTTATGTGTCGTTTGGACACTCGATTCTGACATTCTTCCGAAGCCGAAGGATTTTGAAGGATTTCGGTATGCTCGCGCGACGACGCGCGCATGCGCACTTCGTCCCATTTGTTGCAAGGGATTCTTGACAATTGATGGTTATTGATAAAGAATGCGCGCGCATAAAAATTGATGCAGAGGATGGCGGGGGGGGGGGGGGGTCGATACCAGTTGGGCAGGGATGGTACGAGTTCGAATTTAGGATGGACGATGGGGCAGAACCATGTGTTATTTGCAACACAAAAAGGTGTACCAATAAACCCGGGGGAAGGGGGTGGATCCTAACTAAAAAAGAAACTGAAAGGAGAATTTACGTTGTGCTATTTAGGCGGCGACGGGGCGGCGACGGCGACAACATAGCCGCCACGGACAATAATGAGGCCCAGAGCACGGTCTGCAAAGAAGTGGCGATGGAGCAGCGACGGCGATAACATAGCCGCCAGACCGACCGGCAGGCCTAGACGACAGGCAGCGACGAGGCGGCTGGGGCGGCGACGGCGACAACATAGTCGCCAGACCGACTGGCAGGCCCAGACGACGGGCGGCAACGAACCGGCGACGGGGTGGCGACGGCCCAGTCCGCGAGAAAACAAATAACACCGCCCAAGTGCGAAGACTGTTTGCGGAATATTCCTATGCCTAGACTTTTATTACCCAGATACCCCCCCCACCCCACCAACCCTAAACTGGACCCCCCCAGCCCAGACGCCCTTTCGGACGTCTCGGCGGCCCCCAAGGCGCCCTTGGAAAAAATCCGCTGGCCCTTCCGGGCCTCCTAGGGCGCCATGCCAGCTCTGCGAGCAGACTCAAAGCGATCAGAAGGGTCATCGGAGAGGCGCAAGAGAGACCCCAAACAACATAAAACCGCTCCAAGATGAACTTCGATGGTCCGAAAACGGCCCACGAGGCCCCTAAGACGCCCCAAGAGGCTGTCTAGGGGGCCTCGAAGAGGCAAAACTCGTCCCATTCCCATTCGGGAAATGCTTCTTTTTCGCATATCCGCTTCTTCGGTCTTCGCAGCGTCCAAGACGGCCCGATGGGTCCCCGACATCGCCCCAAGACGGCCCAAGGGGCCCCCAGAGGGTTTGAAGACGGCCCAAGAGGGCCCCAAGACTGCCCCAGAGAGCCCCGAGACTGCCCACAAGAAACCCAAGATGCCCCCAGAAGGCTCCCAAGAGAGACCCACGAAAGACATGGGAGACCCCCGAGAAGGCCATCGGAGGCCCCCGAGAAGGCCCTAGATGGTTGCAGGAGACCTGTGGAGGGCCCCAGCTCCCCAACACGCCCCAAAAAGGCCCCAGGACGGCCCAAGAGGGCCCCAGGACGGCCCAAAAGAGCCCCCCAAACGCCCAAACGGCGTTTCCCGTGCGCTCGGTGCGCTCACGCCAACCCGCCTGTCTTTCCCGTACCTCTATCACCCTCTCTCTCTCTCTCTGTCTCTTTTTTGTTTTCCCTTTTCTCTCTCCCTTCCACCCTCTGCCTGCTTCGTCGACGCCCATGGTCGTGGCATCCGATGGCCATCCTCATTCGCCCGCTCCTTCCTCTGGACCTTCTCCCCGTTTCTCCCTCCCCCTTTTCCGCCTCTTCAGCCCCCCCCCTCATCCTTGCCCCCTTTCCCGTTCCCCGTTCATGGACAGGTGCCATCGTAATAGTTTGATGCTTCGTCGTGTGCCAGCAGCTTCGCGCGTGAAAAGACATCATTCCTTCCCCACTCCTGCGCACAAGCGTGCAAGCGCATCAGGCAAACGCGGCGTCAGCAAACACCAGGGCGATCAAAAAAATGAGCCGATCGCACGTCCAGACCTCGAGGTCCCCCCTGCTGAAGAAAACAATGATACATTGCTTTGCACTGGAGGCGTCCGGAATAAGGCAACCAGGCGCACGGCGCGAAACGCCAATGCCGTCTGATATATATATATATATATATATATATATATATATATATATGTACATATATATATATATATATATATATATATGTATATGTATCTACATAGCCCTACTCTTATATTTCAATTTCCCGGACCCCCCCCCACTCGCCCCCCCTAAACAGGACCCCCCCATGTCGCCCCAGCGTCCAAGACGCCCCGATGGGCCCCCGACATCGCCCCAAGACGGCCCACAGAGGCCCCCCAGAGGGTTTGAAGATGGCCCAAGAGGGCCCCAAGACTGTCCCAGAGAGCCCCGAGACTGCCCACAAGAAACCCAAGATGCCCCCAGAAGGCTCCCAAGAGAGACCCACAAAAGACATGGGAGACCCCCAAGAAGGCCATTGGAGGCCCTCAAATGGGCCCTAGATGGCCCCAAATGACCTCTGGAGGACACCAGCTCTCCAAGACGGCCCAAGAAGGCCCCGGGGCGGCCCAAGACGGCCCAAGGACGGCCCAAAACAATCCGAAAAACACCCAGCTGGCGTTCTCCTACAAAGTACATCGAGCTGACCCGACGATCTTGGTTCCACGTTTGAAACTCAAGGTTTAAGTTCCTCGCTTCAGAAAAACAGGCCATGGATCTAGATTCGAAGTTCGACGATCGAATATTTCATGAGTGCCTGGGTCCCTCCAGGCATTCGGGAAGCGACTGAGAATGGATTGTTCGGAGCTGCTGCGACTTCTTCGGCGTGTCATGGGAACGCTCCTTACTTCCTCAACGGATGGACTCAAGCACCGGAGGAGGCGGAAGAAGAGGAAAGGAGGAGGAAAGAATGGGTAAGGATAAACCTTGGAGGTGGCAGATGAAACGCCAAACGGGTAATTTTTCCCTTCCTCCTCCCATGAGGAGCGGTGCTGAAGCAAGCAATGATTAATTACTTTGCCGGGAAATCATCCGGAACAAGGCGCATGGCGCGAAGCGCCAATTCAATCATGTGTGTGTATGTATGTATGTATGTATGTATGTATGTATGTATGTATGTATGTATGTATGTATGTATGTATATATTATATATATATATATATATATATATTCTCATACGCACCTCTCCGAGGGAGTAGAGCTCAGAGGCGATTCATGCGCACGTCGTCCGCGATTTTTCTGGCCGTTTCGCTCGGGACATCCTCGAAATTCTGAAAATCGGTGGCACCCCTCACGCAGATCGTGACGTCAGGGTCCAAAAACACATGGGAATTTCAACATTTTAACATAAAACCTTCAAAACACATGGTAATTTCAATAATTTTGACCCCGATTCTCAGAGAATGGCGGTTTCGCATGAAACATCCTCCCAAAATCGAGCCCCAGACCCCTCCTCGGAGCCTCCTGGGGGCCTCCTGGAACCTCCTGGGGCCTCCTGGGGCTTTCTGGACCTTCTGGTACCCCAGACCCCGCCTCGGAGCCTCCTGGAGTTCTCCTGGGCCTGCTGAGGCCGCCTGGGGCCTCCTGGGGCCTCCTGGGGCTTCAGAACTACATGCACACACAGAGACACAAATCACGCCCAACACATCACACGCTAGACAAACATAACATACACACACAACACCGACAACACACAAAAAGCACGCACCACACAAAGCACACATCACACACACACACCACTCACAATCCTGGGGCCTCCTGGAGCCTCTTCTGGTATCCAAGTCGGGCCTCCTGAGGCTTCCTGGGGGGCCCTGGTACACACATCGCAAGGTGTGGCAACCCCACTTGCGCTCGAGTGCGACTTCGCTGTTGCATGTCACTCCTGCTTCAAACGCCCCTTCAGCTTGTTGTATGAGCCTGGGAACACGTGCCACTTGTACATATATATATATATATATATATATATACATATATGTATATTCCTATTCTTATATTTCTATAACCCGGACCCCCCCCTAACCCGGACCCCCCCCCCCCCAGGGACGCCCCGGGCGCCCTTTTTGACGTCTCGGCGGCCCCCGGGACGCCCTTGGAAAAGGTCCGCTGACCCTTCTGGGCCTCCCAGGGCGTCTTGCCGGGCCTTGCGAGCAGACTCGCGGCGATCAGAGGGGTCATCGGAGAGGCGCAAGAGAGACTCAAGACAGTACAAAAGCGCTCCAAGGGGAACCTCGACTGTTTGACGACGGCCCAACAGGCCCCGCTCCGAAGAAGCAAACATCGCCCCACACCGTTAGGAACATGTTCCTTTTTAGCATCTCCGCGTTTTGGGTTTTCGCAGCGTTCAAAACGGCCCGATGGGCCCCCGACATCGCCCCAAGAGGCCCCCCAGAGGGCTTGAAGACGGCCAAAGAGGGCCCCAAGACTGCCCCAGAGAGCCCCGAGACTGCCCACAAGAAGCTTAAGATGTCCCCAAAAGGCCCCCAAGAAAGACCCACGGAAGACATGGGAGACCCCCAAGAAGGCCACTGGAGGCCCCCAAATGGGCCCTGGACGGTTTCAGAAGACCTGTGGAGGGCCCCAGCTCCCCAAGACGGGGCCCAAAAGGCCCCAGGACGGCCCAAAAATGCCCCTATGACGGCCCAAAACAGCCCCCTAAACAGCCCCCCAAAACACCCAGTACATCGAGCTGGCCCGACGATCCTGGTTCCACGCTTGAAACTCGAGTATGAAATTCCTCGATCGAGGGCGACAGGCCATGGATCTAGATTCGAAGTTCGACGATGGAAGATTCCCTGAGTGCCTGGGGCCGCCCACGCATTCAGGAAACGGCTAAAATCGATAGTTCGGAACTGCGGCGAATTCTTCGGCGTGTCATGGGAACGCTCCTTACTTCCTCAAAGGACGGACTCAAGCACCGGCAGAGGCGGACAAAGAGGACAGGAGGAGAAAAATATGGGGAGGGATAAACCTTGGAGGTGGCAGATGAAAAGCCAGACGGGACTTTTTCCCCTACCTCCTCCCATGAGGAAACGTGGAAAGCGGTGTGCTGAAAAACCAAAAATAAAGAAACGAATTAAATGCGCAATACGCGACTACAAAGTACAAAGGGTGAAAAGGTTAAACGCAAAGAAGGAAAAAAAAAAAAAAAATTGAAGCCGAGGGAGAAAAGGCAAATATAACGATGCAAGAAAAAACGAAGCACGCGATGATTGATTGCTTTGCCGGGGAAAATCGTCCGGAACAGGCGCAATGGCGCGAGCGCCAATTCAATCATGTATGTATATGTATATATTAATATATGTATTCCTATTCTTATATGACCTGTTCTCTTTAAACCCTTCCCCACGCCAAGGGGTTTGTGCTAGCGCTTCGCTAGCAACCACCAGCTGGAGAGGCATGCGCCAGGCCCCTCACCGCTCGAGACCTACCCCCAAGACCTCAGGAGACCTCCAGGCAGCCCCGAAGACACCCAGGGAATCTCTTTGCAGGATACCCCAAGGTCGAGGCCCGAGGAGAACCCGAAAGACTCCAGTCCAGGAAGCTCGACCCAGGGAATCCCGAGGGAACGCCGAGGCCTGAGGAGGGCTAGATCGGAGCGGACAGGCGGCTAGCCTCTATACAGCGTGGGGGAAAAAGCGCCTCGCATCCACGAAGTAGGCCAGGCACTACTATAGGGTGGCGCGGGCGGGAACCACAAAGAGATCTACGTAGGGATGCGGCGTTTCTCGGTTTCCGAGTGTTATGTTACAATCGTCCCGATAACTGCTCATAACCTTTTCTCTTTACCTTCCCACGCCAAGGGGTCTGTGGCTAGCGTCGCTAGCAACCACCAGCTGGAGAGGCATGCGCCAGGCCCCTTCACCGCTCGAGACCTACCCCCAAGACCTCAGGAGACCTCCAGGCAGCCCCGAGGACACCCAGGGAATCTCTTTGCAGGATACCCCAAGGTCGAGGCCCGAGGAGAACCCGAAAGACTCCAGTCCAGGAAGCTCGACCCAGGGAATCCCGAGGGAACGCCGAGGCCTGAGGAGGCCTAGATCGGAGCGGACAGGCGGCTAGCCTCTATACAGCGTGGGGGTATTCCACGGACTCACAACATTGGCACGGGAGGACTCACGTGGCGTGTCTCAAGATCTCTTTCACAGCGTATCGCATCTGTTCTGACTTTCTCCTGCAACAATCGACTGATAAGACCACGCGCGAAGTGTTGGATCAACATGTGGTCATCAGGAGCAGGAGTGACTTGGACTATGCCTGCAACTGCTTGCTCAATGTAAATCTTTGCGGTCGTTGTGAACTTCATCTGCCTTTCATGATCGTTGTCTCCATATTTTGATGCGACATGAAGTCATACGCGGCACCACCACGACGGCATGGGTACCACGAGAAGCGGAAATTCTCGAGGTGAAAGAACGCCAGCAGCTTTTTCCCCCGCAGCTGCGAAGCTGCGCTGGCGACCGTGTGCTGGTCGTGTCTGGAGGCGCTGCGTGTACATACCAGCGTTTGACCAGATCCACTGCGATGGGGCAGCCGACAACGACCATCTCGGTAGTGGCTTTGCGGTGCCCTGTCTTGGTCTCAGGCAAGCGGACACTGACTCCGTCATTGATGATTGCAACCTGCTGCTTGGACAATGTGAACACCTCTGTTGTGCGGAAAAGACCTGCGAAACCTAATGCGAGGAGGGTGCTGATGTCCACAGCGTCGCACTCGATGGGGAGGGCGGCTATTCCCAGAATGAGCTCTGGCGTGGACGCCAGGGCGCGAACAGGCGGTTCGCGTGTCTCCAAGCCTTGAGCAGACTCCATGACAATTCCCAGCTCTGTTTGACTGAAGGAAAGAAGAAGCCCATCGCAGCGACAGCATAGTTGGCAAAGCTAACGGGCTGGCCTTCGCTCCAGAGCATCTCCATGTACTCGGCGATGCCCTCGTCGGTGTCCAGCGGTCCCGATGTACTCGATTATGGGGTAGAGGCCTCCCGCCGCACAGGGGGCGGCCCACTTGCGCAGGAGCCATTGCAGCCTGGTACTGGACGACCGCCCCTTCGTAGTGATCGCTGCCAACCTGCGGGTCAAACAGGTGGACAAACCTGGCGCTGAGGTGCTCTGTGGAGCGAGTCCTCCAAAGCAGGGCTGCGACTCCCGCCTGCAGCTCGCGGGCGTGGACGTGGATGTCAATGCTGCCTTGCCACCTCAGCGAGACCACGACTCTCCAGTTCCAGTTGAAAGGGCTGATGCTCGCCCGCGGCCCCGCCTTGGGTCGGTGAAGCAGGCCCACGGCTAGACGAATGTCGCTCCCACTGCGATCACTTAGTGCAAGGAACTCGCCTGTGAACTCTGAGGCCAGCTTCTTGTCGTACTCGGCTGTGCCCTTCGTGTAGGTGCCGATCCCACCCCAGACCAGCGGGCACGACCCCCGCGCGAACAGAGCTTCAGCAGGTAGCCCGCGAGCAAGGAGTCCTCGAGCCAGAAACAGCTGCTGGAGGAGCCAGGAGACCGAATACACTGAATAAGAGTTGCCCAAGAGAAAGCTCCTCGTGTCAGCAACTCCTTGGGCCTCAGGGTCCTTGTGGGCAACCCTTGTGTAATTCTTGTCGAATCCCAGCAGGGCCTCTCTCTCCTCGGGGTTAGGCGTGCGGAGGCCCCCATCCAGGTCGTTCCGAAGCATGGAGGTCTCTTCATACCAGCCCAAGTGATAGCGATAGCAGTCCTGCCCCCACCTCCTTTTTGCGGCGTCCGAAGCAGAGCGGAGGCCAGCAGGCATCGCAGGTCTACTTGAGGCAGGCCGCGGGCACAGAAGCGTCGGGACTGGAGCAGCGCCGCCTCCCCAGGTCCAGCCAGCAGCGACCCACTGGAGAGGGGCGACTGAGCCGCTGACTCGGCGCACGACCAGGAGTGACCCGCTGGGCTGGCGCCGCTCCTCGACTGCGAATTCCCCGCGAGTCTGCACAGGCCAACTGCACCAATAATAACGCGGCCGACGAGCAGGAACAAATATAGAGGAGCATAGCTTGACTGGCGGGACCCCAAGCTCCTTCGTGATAGCATCTCTCACTTGCGGACTCATCGAGGCAACGTTCTCAACAAAGGTGGCTAGCTTCTCCTTGAAGTGCTTACGAAGGAGACCGTGGACCCGCGGGATCTCATAGAAGAGTTTCGAGCTGGGGCTAGCCAGGCCTGCCCGCGACAAACTGACTGCGCTGAGGTCCTGACAAGGGCTGCCCGCTCCACAGACGCAGACGTCGCACAGGCTGTAGTAGGTGTCAGCCAGCTTAGCGACGTCCTTCTCGGAGATCGATCGGATATCACCCCAATCTGCGGTTCCAGGCCATCGGAGTCGCACGACTCGTCTAGCAGGCTTGTCAACCTCGCTGCACACCATGCCGATGATGTCGACTGGCAGCCTGGACATTGCCACAGCCAGCGCGGCGATGCCGTCGAAGCGGCTCACGATGAGCACCCTGGGCCGCGGCCGCCCACCTGGCAGCAACGGGGAGCTGCGTGCGGGCACCAGGTCGCCGCGGCCTGGCCCCAGCACCGGCCTGGCTCCCTGGCGGGCGGCCCTGAGCTGCTGGACTGCCAAGGGCGTGAGGCCAGTGGAAGCGCACACTCCACCTCCAGCCTCCGAGGCATCCGAGACGGTGGCGACTGGCGACAGCGCGGCCCTAAGGTCGGTACACGCGATGGGCAGGTACCCGATGCACACGAGCAGCTCCTGGCTCATGCCCATGTTGATGCGCCTACCTCTCGTCCTGGTGGGAAACTCCCAGACCAAGTTGAGGCAGCTCAAGAGCGGCCGCCTGAACTCCAGGGCCAGAACGGCACGGCCCAGCAGCGTGAGCATGAGCAGCCATGGGCAGTAATCGCGGCCCAGGGCATACAAGATGTAGCGGACCAGCTCGATCACCTTATTAGCAGGGGCCCTGATCGTACCAGCGCAGCCGTCGATGGACACCCCCATTCTCTCGAGCCGCAGCTGCCGCGCATGGCTTTTTTCCTCCGCGTAGGCGACCTCTGCCTGGGTGTAGGCGCGCCGCATGGCGAGCTGCATCTCGCCTGGGGCGCCCACGACCTGATACGCCTCTGCCGCCTCCAGGACCTCGGGCGCATCAAAATCATCGATGTAGACCTGCCACCACGCATGAGGATGCTGCCTCGCTAGCGGCCAAGGCTGATTGCGCGTCCACTCTGCTTCTGCAGGTAAGCCAGCTCCTAAGCGCGGTGCTCGCAGGGCCAGGCGGCAATGCAGGTGTTGGAAGAGGGTGACTGCGGATACCCAGCCCATGGGGATGACGCGGAACGCCACGTAGACCAGGTGGTCCCCTGGCAACCCCGCAGAGCTCGCTGGCACGGGCACCGAGACGGCCATTCTGCCATACCAGATTGGCGGCAGCTTCCAGACATAGAAGGCGCCCTTCTGGTCGTCGCTGCTCCACACCATGACGCATCCTTCTGGCAAGTGGAGGCTGGTCCATGTGGTGGAGGCCGCCAAAGTCGACGTGTCCTCAACAATGTTGCGGAGGTAGGCGTTGGAGGGTATCATGTTGAAGATGAGGCGCGTGCATCTCGACAAGGCCTCGAGTGGCTTGGCCTACCTCTCGCGAGCGAATAGGCCGTTGAAGACCTTCTGGCCCCGCTGCGCAAAGATGTCCGCCTCGTCGACCACGCCCAAGATGCCGAGGCCAATCAAGTGTTCTGCGACCTCGTACCAGTCCTCGAGCCTCGCGCAACTGACTCGGGCGCGAGGAGGGTGCAGCGGCCAGTCCGCATCAGGCAGCGCGGCAACCTCATGGTCCATGAGCCACTCCAGGATGTGCCCGTCAACGAACCCCTCCGTCTGGAGCTGTGCGGCATGCTGTTTGTCGGGAAGGCCTGGTATAGGCTCCGCTAGCTTGATAGGCAAGGCCTCGCCCTGCTCCTCACCAGTGTAGTCGACCCTGAGCTTGCTGATCTTCTGGGACCAGTCGATGTCAGGCCGACGAGTCAGTGGGTCATCCAAGAAGCCGTCGACGTGGGAGATGATGGTCTTGTAGGCGGACCGCTGGGCAGGATGTAGCACTGGCGAGTGCCTCCACAGGCGAGGGTCACCTCGACCAACGTACTCGAAATTGAGAGACAGCACCACTATGTATGACCAGAACTCTCTGGCGACTAAACGCCCCTCCATCCTGAACCTCTGACGCTTCCTTCTCGGTCCGTCCTGAGATGCGACCCAAGCTCGTGTGAGCGTAAGGTCGGGGAGGGCCATCGGCAGCAGGTCACGCGTCCTTACCTGCGGCCCTCCAGTCGTGGGAAGGTGTGGACGAAATTCAGAGCAAAACTTTCCAAGGCGGCCTGGGTGCTGCCACTGCAAGGTGACGATAGCAATGACCAAGCCCAATAAATGCGGCGTGGCGGGTACAGCTCGACACGCAGCTGCCCTCCACGCGGCCAGGTCAGTGTAGACTGGCAAGTGTTCAGTCCAGCGAGGCTGCGCGTCGGTGTTCGGCGCTGCCGCGTGGCCTACCTCGCGGGTCAGTCCCGCCGCCCGCGCGTGGTCGTTGTGAACTTCATCTGCCTTTCATGATCGTTGTCTCCATATTTTGATGCGACATGAAGTCATACGCGGCACCACCACGACGGCATGGGCACCACGAGAAGCGGAAATTCTCGAGGTGAAAGAACGCCAGCAGCTTTTTCCCCCGCAGCTGCGAAGCTGCGCTGGCGACCGTGTGCTGGTCGTGTCTGGAGGCGCTGCGTGTACATGCCAGCGTTTGACCAGATCCACTGCGATGGGGCAGCCGACAACGACCATCTCGGTAGTGGCTTTGCGGTGCCCTGTCTTGGTCTCAGGCAAGCGGACACTGACTCCGTCATTGATGATTGCAACCTGCTGCTTGGACAATGTGAACACCTCTGTTGTGCGGAAAAGACCTGCGAAACCTAATGCGAGGAGGGTGCTGATGTCCACAGCGTCGCACTCGATGGGGAGGGCGGCTATTCCCAGAATGAGCTCTGGCGTGGACGCCAGGGCGCGAACAGGCGGTTCGCGTGTCTCCAAGCCTTGAGCAGACTCCATGACAATTCCCAGCTCTGTTTGACTGAAGGAAAGAAGAAGCCCATCGCAGCGACAGCATAGTTGGCAAAGCTAACGGGCTGGCCTTCGCTCCAGAGCATCTCCATGTACTCGGCGATGCCCTCGTCGGTGTCCAGCGGTCCCGATGTACTCGATTATGGGGTAGAGGCCTCCCGCCGCACAGGGGGCGGCCCACTTGCGCAGGAGCCATTGCAGCCTGGTACTGGACGACCGCAGGAGCCATAGTGAGCGCTGGTGCCTGGAACCTGCGGGCCGAAACGTAGTGGATCGCTGCCAACCTGCGGGTCAAACACAGGCTTGGACAAAACTGGAGCCCTGAGGAGCTCTGTGGAGCTCGAAGAGTCCTCCAAAGCAGAGGCTTTCTGCGACTCCCGCCTGCAGCTCGCGGGCGTGGACGTGGATGTCAATGCTGCCTTGCCACCTCAGCGAGACCACGACTCTCCAGTTCCAGTTGAAAGGGCTGATGCTCGCCCGCGGCCCCGCCTTGGGTCGGTGAAGCAGGCCCACGGCTAGACGAATGTCGCTCCCACTGCGATCACTTAGTGCAAGGAACTCGCCTGTGAACTCTGAGGCCAGCTTCTTGTCGTACTCGGCTGTGCCCTTCGTGTAGGTGCCGATCTCACCCCAGACCAGCGGGCACGACCCCCGCGCGAACAGAGCTTCAGCAGGTAGCCCGCGAGCAAGGAGTCCTCGAGCCAGAAACAGCTGCTGGAGGAGCCAGGAGACCGAATACACTGAATAAGAGTTGCCCAAGAGAAAGCTCCTCGTGTCAGCAACTCCTTGGGCCTCAGGGTATTGTGGGCGACCCTTGTGTAATGCTTGTCGAATCCCAGCAGGGCCTCTCTCTCCTCGGAGTTAGGCGTGCGGAGGCTCCCATCCTGGTCGTTCCGATGCGTGGAGGTCTCTTCATGCCAGCCCAAGTGATAGCGATGACAGTCCTGCTCCCGCCTCCTTTTTGCAGCGTCCAAAGCAGAGCGGAGGCCAGCAGGCATCGCAGGTCTACTTGAGGCTGGCCGCGGGCACACAGCATCGGTACTGGAGCAGCGCCGCCTCCCCAAATCCAGCCAGCAGCGACCCACTGGAGAGGGGCGACGGAACCGCTGACTCGGCGCACGATTAAGTGTGACCCTCTGGGCTGGCGCCGCTCCTCGACTGCGAATTCCCCGCGGGTCTGCGCAGGCCAACTGCACCAGTAGTAACGCGGCCGACGGGCAGGAGCAAATATAGAGGAGCATAGCTTGACTGGCGGGACTCCAAGCTCCTTCGTGATAGCATCTCTCACTTGCGGACTCATCGAGGCAACGTTCTCAACAAAGGTGGCTAGCTTCTCCTTGAAGTGCTTACGAAGGAGACCGTGGACCCGCGGGATCTCATAGAAGAGCTTCGAACTGGGGCCAGCCAGGCCAGCCCGCGACAAATTGACTGCGCTGAGGTCCTGACAAGGGCTGCCAGCTCCACGGACGCAGACGTCGCACAGGCTGTAGTAGGTGTCAGCCAGCTTAGCGACGTCCTTCTCGGAGATCGATCGGATATCACCCCAATCTGCGGTTCCAGGCCATCGGAGTCGCACGACTCGTCTAGCAGGCTTGTCAACCTCGCTGCACACCATGCCGACGATGTCGACTGGCAGCCTGGACATTGCCACAGCCAGCGCGGCGACGCCGTCGAAGAGGCTCACGATGAGCACCCTGGGCCGCGGCCGCCCACCTGGCAGCGACGGGGAGCTGCGTGCGGGCTGCAGGTCGCCGCGGCCAGGCCCCAGCACCGGCCTAGCTCCCTGGCGGGCGGCCCTGAGCTGCTGGACTGCCAAGGGCGTGAGGCCAGTGGAAGCGCACACTCCACCTCCAGCCTCCGAGGCATCCGAGACGGTGGCGACTGGCGACAGCGCGGCCCTAAGGTCGGTGCACGCGATGGGCAGGTACCCGATGCACGCGAGCAGCTCCTGGCTCATGCCCATGTTGATGCGCCCTCCTCTCGTCCTGGTGGAGAACTCCCAGACCGAGTTGAGGCAACTCAAGAGCGGCCGCCTGAACTCCAGGGCCCGAACGGCGCGGCCCAGCAACGTGAGCATAAGCAGCCATGGGCAGCAATCGCGGCCCAGGGCGTACAGGATGTAGCGGACCAGCTCGATCACCTTGTCAGCAGGGGCCCTGATCGTACCAGCGCAGCCGTCGATGGACGCCCCCATCCTCTCGAGCTGCAGCTGCCGCGCGTGGCTTTTCTCCTCCGCGTAGGCGACCTCTGCCTGGGTGTAGGCGCGCCGCATGGCGAGCTGCATCTCGCCTGGGGTGCCCACGACCCGATACGCCTCTGCCGCCTCCAGGACCTCGGGCGCATCAAAGTCATCGCTGTAGACCTGCCACCACGCGTGAGGATGCTGCCTCGCTAGCGGCCAAGGCTGATCGCGCCTCCACTCCGCTTCTGCAGGCAAACCAGCTCCTAGACGCGGTGCTCGCAAGGCCAGGCGGCGGTGCAGGTGCTGGAAGAGGGTGACTGCGAGGACCCAGCCCATGGGGATGACGCGGAACGCTACGTAGACCAGGTGGTCTCCTGGCAACCCAGCAGAGCTCGCTGGCACGGGCACCGAGACGGCCATTCTGCCATACCAGACTGGCGGCAGTTTCCAGACATAGAAGGCGCCCTTCTGGTCGTCGCTGCTCCACACCATGACGCATCCTGCTGGCAAGTGGAGGCTGGTCCATGAAGCTGAGGCCGCCAAAGTCGACGTGTCCTCAACGATGTTGCGGAGGTAGGCGTTGGAGGGTATCATGTTGAAGATGAGGCGCGTGCATCTCGACTGGCCCTCGAGTGGCTTGCCCATCTTCTCGCGAGCGAACAGGCCGTTGAAGACCTTCTGGCCCGGCGGCGCAAAGATGTCCGCCTCGTCGACCACGCCCAAGATGCCGAGGCCAATCAAGTGCTCTGCGACCTCGCACCAGTCCTCGAGCCTCTCGCAATTGACTCGGGCGCGAGGAGGGTCCAGCGGCCACTCCGCAGCAGGCAGCGTGGCAACTTCAGGGTCCATGAGCCACTCCAGGATGTGCTCGTCAACGAACTCCTCCATCTGGAGCTGCGCGGCATGCTGTTTGTCGGGAAGGCCTGGTATAAGCTCCGCTAGCTTGATGGGCAAGGCCTCGCCCTGCTCCTCACCAGTGTAGTCGACCCTGAGCTTGCTGATCTTCTGGGACCAGTCGATGTCAGGCCGACGAGTCAGTGGGTCATCCAAGAAGCCGTCGACGTGGGAGATGATGGTCTTGTAGGCGGACCGCTGGGCAGGATATAGCACTGGCGAGTGCCTCCACAGGCGAGGGTCACCTCGACCAACGTACTCGAAATTGAGAGACAGCACCACTATGTATGACCAGAACTCTCTGGCGACTAAACGCCCCTCCATCCTGAACCTCTGACGCTTCCTTCTCGGTCCGTCCTGAGATGCGACCCAAGCTCGTGTGAGCGTAAGGTCGGGGAGGGCCATCGGCAGCAGGTCACGCGTCCTTACCTGCGGCCCTCCAGTCGTGGGAAGGTGTGGACGAAATTCAGAGCAAAACTTTCCAAGGCGGCCTGGGTGCTGCCACTGCAAGGTGACGATAGCAATGACCAAGCCCAATAAATGCGGCGTGGCGGGTACAGCTCGACACGCAGCTGCCCTCCACGCGGCCAGGTCAGTGTAGACTGGCAAGTGTTCAGTCCAGCGAGGCTGCGCGTCGGTGTTCGGCGCTGCCGCGTGGCCTACCTCGCGGGTCAGTCCCGCCGCCCGCGAGCCTCCTGCATGAGCTTCCTGAGGCGCCTGCCGTAGGCTCCCCGCGTCTCGCCCTGCCTCTTCGGCGTCGCCTCCTTCGAAAAGTCATCGCGCAGCTGCACGGTCCGCTGCGGCCCTGGTGTAGGGCGGCGGGCTGCTGCTGCTGCGCTGCTGGTAGCGGTGGATCCTTGACGAGGTCCGCAGGCGTCCGAGGCCCAGGCAGCTGGTGTGCCGCCTTGCCTCGGCTCCCGCCAGTGTGGCCTACAGGAGGGGAGTTGCTCCTCGGCGGCTCCCTCTCCCGGCCTGACCCCTAGCCCTGCTTGAGCTTGGACAGCAGCTCCTCTAGGCGCAACTCGCCCAGCTCGACGGTGCGCGCGATCTCCCCATCCTCCGTCCTGAGCGCAAGCTGCTCGTTCATGGGCGGGATGAGCTCCAGCCAGCGAGCACCTGACCAACTCTTGTCGATAGCGGAAAGCTAAAGTGCCTTGAACCGTTGACCCAGCACGTCCAAGGCGTAGGCCGTCTTGCCCGAAAGGATGGCATCCGCGGCCTCGCAGACTGTCCTCATCTCGCGGTAGACCTCAATCCCGATCGACTTGATGGGGGTCTGAGGGATGAAGACATTCAGAAAGTACTTCAGGAAGGTAAACGGGAAATCCTCCCCCGTCTTCTCACCATCCTGCGTGGTGACATACTCGCTCATCTTGGCCAGCGCCTGCTCAGGGAGAAGCCCAGGGAACTTGGCGGCAATCTGGCGAAAGTGACCTCGACGAGTGGCGAGACCTCGCAAGACTGCCCCATCACCACTGCCGCTGGCGCCACTGAGAACTGACTGCAGTACGTCACCAGTGCCGCTCCTGTTGGCCGCCGCCTCAAGCAACAACTGGAGAAGAGCTCCCTCGGCCCCTGCCCCAGTGCTGCCGCCCGCGGCACTCGAAGCCGCCTCTGCTGGCCCCTTGGGCGCGCGCCTCTTGTCGGCCCTGTATCGCGCGCAGGGGGCGCCACGGCTGACAGGCGGGCGCCTGCCTCCTCTAGCGGCGAGGCCTGCAGGGCAGCGGGCTGGCGGCCGCCGCCGCGCGCTGGCGCCGCCATGGGGCGCGGGCCCGAGGCCGGGGCAGCCGTGTCCTGAACCACGCAGCTGTCGAGCGGCATGCCGAACCCGTCCAGCTCGACCTCCGACGACCTGCAAGCCGCCGCCTCTCCTGTAGACTCGGGCCCGAGCTCCTGGGACCAACGGGCCCAAGAGTCCACCGCCTGGCACTCTAGGTAGAACTCCGACGCCTCCGCGGCGTCGACCTCCTCGAGCTCCGAGACGTCGATCAGCGTCCCGCGGGAGGCGCTCAGCGTGGCGAGGCACATCTCCTTCGCGCAAAAGTGGTAGAGCGGCCGCCGTGCCCCCCCCACGCTCCACGGGATGAACCATCCACCAGGCCCGATAGCCGTCGCTGCGGCAAATCTGCTCGGCCCGTGCGGACTGGCCATCCTCGTCGGGAGGGTAGGCGCCTATCACCTGGATGAGGTACTCACCCTGCGGCCGCGCCTCCGCGTCGAACGCTGTGCAGCGATACAGGCGGCCGACCTGCACGGGGAAGCGGAAGGCGGCGGGCTCGGACTCCCCCAGCGAGAGGTCTGCAGGCACCTCCTCCTCCCCAGCTGCGTCCACCATGCCCGAGCGCGTGAGACCTGGGAAAGTGGCAAACTGGTCACGCCTAGAACTCGCGGCAAGGTCCTGCTGAAGGAGGGGCGCCTGGACCTCACCCCTCTCTCAAGAGGGAATAAACATTTGAACCACAAAGAGATCTACGTAGGGATGCGGCGTCTCTCGGCTTCCGAGTGTTATGTTACAATCGTTCCGATAACTGCTCATATTTCTATAGCCCGGACCTCCCGCCCTAAACCGGACCCCCCCCCAGGGACGCCCCGGGTGCCCTTTCGGACGTCTCGGCGGCCCCCAGGACGACCTTGGAAAAGGTCCGCTGACCCTTCTGGGCCTCCCAGGGCGTCTTGCCAGGCCTTGCGAGCAGACTCGCGGCGATCAGAGGGGTCATCGGAGAGGCGCAAGAGAGACTCAAGACAGTACAAGAGCGCTCCAAGGGGAACCTCGACTGTCTGAAGACGGCCCAACAGGCCCCGCTCCGAAGAAGCAAACATCGCCCCACACCGTTAGGAACATGTTCCTTTTTAGCATCTCCGCGTTTTGGGTTTTCGCAGCGTTCAAAACGGCCCGATGGGCCACCGACATCGCCCCAAGAGGCCCCCCAGAGGGCTTGAAGACGGCCCAAGAGGGCCCCAAGACTGCCCCAGAGAGCCCCGAGACTGCCCACAAGAAGCTTAAGATGCCCCCAAAAGGCCCCCAAGAAAGACCCACGGAAGACATGGGAGACCCCCAAGAAGGCCATTGGAGGCCCCCAAATGGGCCCTGGACGGTTTCAGAAGACCTGTGGAGGGCCCCAGCTCCCCAAGACGGGGCCCAAAAAGGCCCCAGGACGGCCCAAAAGTGCCCCATGACGACCCAAAACAGCCCCAAAACAGCCCCCCAAAACACCCAGTACATCGAGCTGGCCCGACGATCCTGGTTCCACGCTTGAAACTCGAGGATTAAATTCCTCGATCGAGGGCGACAGTGACAGGCCATGGATCTAGATTCGAAGTTCGACGATGGAAGATTCCCTGAGTGCCTGGGGCAGCCCACGCATTCAGGAAACGGCTAAAAATCGATAGTTCGGAACTGCGGCGAATTCTTCGGCGTGTCATGGGAACGCTCCTTACTTCCTCAAATGATGGGCTCGATCACCGGCAGAGGCGGACAAGGAGGACAGGAGGAGAAAAATATGGGGAGGGATAAACCTTGGAGGTGGCAGATGAAAAGCAGACTGTGACTTTTTTCCCCTAACCTCCTCCCATGAGAGCGGTGCTGAATGCCAGCGATGATTGATTGCTTTGCCGTGAATCGTCCGGAACCAGGCGCTGGCGGCGAAGCGCCTATCAATAATGTATGTATATGTAATCATATATATATGTATTACTGCTCATAACCCTTTCGCTTTACCTTCCCACGCCAAGGTCTGTGCTAGCGTCGCTGCAACCACCAGCTTGAGAGGCATGCGCCAGCCCTCACCGCTGAGACCTACCGCCCAGACCCCTCAGGAGACTCCAGGCAGCCGAGGACACTCAGAATCTCTTTGAGAATACCCCAAGGTCGAGCCCGAGAGACCCTAAAGACTCCATTTCCAGGAAGCTCGACCCAGGGAACCCCGAGGGAACGCCGAGGCCTGAGGAGGGCTAGATCGGAGCGGACAGGCGGCTAGCCTCTATACAGCGTGGGGGCAAAAGCGCCTCGCATCCACGAAGTAGGCCAGGCACTACTATAGGGTGGCGCGGGCGGGAACCACAAAGAGATCTACGTAGGGATGCGGCGTTTCTCGGCTTCCGAGTGTTATGTTACAATCGTCCCGATAACTGCTCATAACCCTTTCTCTTTACCTTCCCACGCCAAGGGGTCTGTGGCTAGCGTCGCTAGCAACCGCCAGCTGGAGAGGCATGCGCCAGGCCCCTCACCGCTCGAGACCTACCCCCAAGACCTCAGGAGACCTCCAGGCAGCCCCGAGGACACACAAGGAATCTCTTTGCAGGATACCCCAAGGTCGAGGCCCGAGGAGAACCCGAAAGACTCCAGTCCAGGAAGCTCGACCCAGAGAATCCCGAGGGAACGCCGAGGCCTGAGGAGGCCTAGATCGGAGCGGACCCAGAGAATCAACATTGGCACGGGAGGACGTGGCGTGTCTCAGATCTCTTTCACAGCGTATCGCATCTGTTGACTTTCTCCTGCACAATCGACTGATAAGACCACGCGCGAAGTGTTGGATCAACATGTGGTCATCAGGAGCAGGAGTGACTTGGACTATGCCTGCAACTGCTTGCTCAATGTAAATCTTTGCGGTCGTTGTGAACTTCATCTGCCTTTCATGATCGTTGTCTCCATATTTTGATGCGACATGAAGTCATACGCGGCACCACCACGACGGCATGGGTACCACGAGAAGCGGAAATTCTCGAGGTGAAAGAACGCCAGCAGCTTTTTCCCCCGCAGCTGCGAAGCTGCGCTGGCGACCGTGTGCTGGTCGTGTCTGGAGGCGCTGCGTGTACATACCAGCGTTTGACCAGATCCACTGCGATGGGGCAGCCGACAACGACCATCTCGGTAGTGGCTTTGCGGTGCCCTGTCTTGGTCTCAGGCAAGCGGACACTGACTCCGTCATTGATGATTGCAACCTGCTGCTTGGACAATGTGAACACCTCTGTTGTGCGGAAAAGACCTGCGAAACCTAATGCGAGGAGGGTGCTGATGTCCACAGCGTCGCACTCGATGGGGAGGGCGGCTATTCCCAGAATGAGCTCTGGCGTGGACGCCAGGGCGCGAACAGGCGGTTCGCGTGTCTCCAAGCCTTGAGCAGACTCCATGACAATTCCCAGCTCTGTTTGACTGAAGGAAAGAAGAAGCCCATCGCAGCGACAGCATAGTTGGCAAAGCTAACGGGCTGGCCTTCGCTCCAGAGCATCTCCATGTACTCGGCGATGCCCTCGTCGGTGTCCAGCGGTCCCGATGTACTCGATTATGGGGTAGAGGCCTCCCGCCGCACAGGGGGCGGCCCACTTGCGCAGGAGCCATTGCAGCCTGGTGCTGGACGACCGCCCCTTCGTAGTGATCGCTGCCAACCTGCGGGTCAAACAGGTGGACAAACCTGGCGCTGAGGTGCTCT